TTGCACAACATGTTTCGTTCTTCCAAAACACCAGAATTCGCAATAACATAAAGAACACAATCCCAGACACAAAACGATCAGCCACCCAATGTTAAATACTAGCAAATCAGACTGTTCTCAAAGTGGTTATCCTTTGGGTCCCTTTATCTCTTTGATCTGAGAGTTTTTTTGTCAAACCGTCTTCGTTCTTATTTATGGACTTGTTTTCATGTATTTTTTTCCATGTTTGGGAGGTTATGCGTGGAGTGAATTTAGTGGGGGAAGGTGGTGTGGCTTGGTCCTTTGAGTTGATGTGACCAACGTCTTTGACCACAGGTATGCCCACACACACTGTTCACTTGAATATAGGAGTTGATGTGACCAATGTCTTTGACCACAGCATTCCCTGGTTGCCTAACCAGCTTGGGTGGTGTACAGCCTGCCTGATTATTAGGCTATACACACATGGGAGAACAGGTAAGTGGCCAAGAGAGGGAACCTGGAGCTGTTGTGCCAGCTAGAACACAGCAAAAAGCCCTACCACTGCTCTGAGAAGCCCTTAGTTTTTAACACCAAAGTATTAATAGGTGGTGCCCATGGAACTCACGGCTACTCTGGTTCTTTATCACAATCACTGGCGCAAAAAGTTGGCAGCTGAAAAGGACAGCCACAAGTTCTACGTTCTGGTATTTTGTTCCCGGTTGTGTTCCTTTTCTGGACATCCTCTTCTTAAACTTCATCCAATGATATTGGCAATATCATCTTCATGAAAATCGATAACCCCCTCTCTTGCTTCAATTAGACGCTAAACTCCTTGTCGCAGCGAACTTGAGGCGGGCAATCAGGATCACTGTGAAGATGAAGATGAAGCATCAGTTAAGAAAATTCAATAATGGCTGACAAGTATGTGTGGCAGTAGGCTTTGTGTAGCCTTTTAATTGCTTGAACTTGTTCCACAAGGCTGAAGCATCACCGTGATGCTCCTTTGTTGTAATTGGCTGCAACATATCCCCATTGGAACAGTTCCAAAACTCAAATAATTACTATTTATGTCGCGCAAACCACATCAAATCTCTTCAGCCAAAATTGAGGCTGAACTTTGGTGGGCAAAGGTATTTTTGCCTTATGCTACCCAGACTGCCACACTCCCCAGTTTCACAGCCACCGGCGACATTTCAGTTTCCTCTATATCAGGTCTCACAGCGCACCTGGTGACCCAGCACTCCTCTACTCTCAGTTATGTAGAGTTTAGTCAAGATAGTGTTATATATTGGCTCAAGGCAAGTATTGTCTGTTGATTTCAAACCTCAGTAGTAGGTGCCATATTTTGGGTTTGCTTTTCCAGGCCTCAGAGCCACGTTAGGGTTTTATAACGATGTTGCTAACACATTCTCAACTATTGTTGTGTTGATTAAATGACTTTGTCGGCCTATGGTTAGTTGAAGTTGTGGGGTTAACGTTGACTGCCAATCATAGTATCAGGTCCATAATGTTGACAGGTTAGATCCATACTCTCAGTATGTCAAGATGGTTGTATACACTTGCTTACAAAGTAGACTTGGCCAAGGGCAGGGATGATTCTCGGTGCAACAGTGTTGGGCTAACTCTATAACCTCAATGGGCTAACGCTGACCACCAATCCTGGTATCAGGTTCATATCATTGACAGGTTAGATCTATACTTTCAGTTTTGTTGAGTCGAAATTATTGTGATTAGAGCGTGTTTTATTCAAACTAACTTGTTACAATATATACCTTTCCGTCACCCAGCAATGACTGACCATTCTGACATTCCCCATGAATTCCACAAGATTAGCAGACTACAGTTGAATTTATTGCACTGTATTCAGTGAGGTCCACAAGTTTGTAAGCAAGCAGAAACAACGGTCTTGACAAACGTCTTGAATGTTTGATTTCATCAAAGGTCTATGATCTAGACTGTTGTCTTTGTTACTACTTGGTCAAGGACCTCGATGGTCTAAACTCGGTGCACTCATTTCCATGCACTACCAATTTGAAAGGAAATCATACTGGTACAGATAATTGGTAGCAAATATGCAAGGCCTCCTAAAATGTTCCCAAACCCTCCGCTCCAAACCAGCGAGGAAAGGGTTTTCATCCTGGGAGGTTAAGCAAATCTTTGACCTGCTAGAAGAGTTGACTATTGGGCGGCATTTGATCTACACTAGAAAAAGTGAAAAGCGGAAAGGGGAAACGGGGGGGTCCGATTCGTTTTGGAGACAAACATGCAATCCTCCCATGTCTTCTACATTTCTACTTCTCCCAGAGCGACACTAAGACAGTCCACCTGATTCTTGGTATACCGCCATCTTGCAACCCATGCACAGGGCGGAGCGATGCCTCTTTTTAGCTTGCTGGATGTCCCTGCTGCAGCAGTTTTGTGGCCAACTCATGAGCAACATAGGCACAGTTGGAACAACAGAGGGAGCCTCTTGTGAGAACCTGTGGGGTTTCATTGACAGAAAGAAAGAACTACAATGTAAAAGACCCTAGCTGAAAAGCAAACACATATCACAACGGTTTGCTCTATAGTTCAAAGTAGCCGGCACGTTTGGTCTGTTTTGGTGCAGATGGAACAATTGTTTGGGGCCGGCACAACTGTCCAGGCTCTTGGAATAATTTCGAAATGAGTCAAGTGTTCTTCAACCATGTATTGGATGTACTCGATCCCATTATCAACCCAAACGGAAAGACTCTGCCATGGTGTGGTGTTGTTGCCAATACAGCCTTTCCGGTGATGGATATGTGTTCTGGAGTGAGAATACCGTAAATGATAGGCGACCTGGAGCGTGCACTGAGAGAGGCAATGACAGGGTTGACTGCCATCAATAATGTGCTGAAAAGCATACAAGAGGCAGCCAAATGGGGTGTGGATTTGACCAAATGCCCTGCCTGGATCCTGGACCCACCACTAAACAAGCTACATCGGCTGAATCGGCGCGTCTTCGATCAACGAACGTCCGCAGAGGCTGTTGCAAACGATCCTGATTATTATTGAAGAAAATGTTGTCATTCGGCCGCTTGGTTTCGCGTCGATCACACTTGGCCCGTTTTCTTTAGAGATATATAGTATTGTTCCCACGGTGTAGACCCCCACCAGTCCCGTGACCACAACCACATCCACACGACTTCCCCACCCCAGCAACACTCCACCCATTCTAAACTCAACAATGGCAGACGAGGCAGGAGCGTACGCCCCACCCAGCGATGCACCCCCACAAGGACCACCTGAACTTCCCATCGTTGTCATCGGTATTTAATGAAGGCACGTATCCTCACTCACTCTTACTCTCTTCTCCGTGCTAGATCACCAGGCCTCTTCGGACCAGGAATCGCGGGACGCTTTCCTCGCCTGGCTGCGTCTCGCAGTCCTACACCACGGAAACTTTTATCTCACGAACGCAATCGACCAGGACCTCCTCGACCGAGTCCAGGACCATGTCGTCAAGCTGTTCGCCCTCCCAGAAGACATCAAGCGCTCCATCTCGGTCGAGAACTCCCCGCACTTTTTCGGCTACACCGCCGCCAACTCGGCCGCCACGGGCAAAACAGTTGACTCGAAGGAAGCCTTTGAGTTTGGGTCTGATACGCCTTGTGTGTGGAAAGAGGGCGATCCCGACGTGAAGAGGTTCAGGCCAGGTCCGAACTTGTACCCCGAGAACGTAGACGAGTTGCTACCTGGCTTCAAGGAGGACGTGCGCGCGTACAACCATGCCCTCGCAGCTCTGGCCGAGCAGTACGCGGGTTTCATTGCGGAGGCTTTAGGATTGCCAGCGGACTCGTTTGCGAGTCTGCTCGACGCAAACTCAAAGTCGAACGGTCGTGTCAAGGTGATTGAATAAGAAGATGAATGCTGTTTGGGTTTTCTTTTGACTCTTACTTTCACAAAGTTTACGCGCTACCCCGCTTCTCCTGAGGGCTCGTCGACTGTCGCTGAGGGCCGTCACAGAGACATGTGGCTCACTTTCACCATGCCCGTCGACGGCCTCTTTGGTTTTCAGGTGAGAACATTGGCCCCAATGAAACTAGCAATTGTACTGATTTTAGCTACTCACACCACTGTTACATTGCAGTTCCAAAACGAATCGCAGAGCTCGATCACGGTACCCCTGATCACCGACACTTTCATCGTCTCGATCGGCTCTGTCCTCGAGACCGTTACCGGCAGCGCGGCGCTCTGCACCCCGCGCCGCATCCTCTCTCCCGCCTTCGGCGCCGAAGATGGCTATTCGATCGTGTTCCAGGCCGAGCTGTCCCCCGACGTGCAATTCAGCGACCTCTTGAACCTCGGCGACGTCGAGAAGATCGGCGAGGAGGCCAAGACGGTTGCAAAGGCGCGTAGGGCGAGGCGTCGCGCTGGGTTCGATAAGGTCAAGAAGGTCATGGCGGGTTTGAAAGCCTTCTCTCTCGGATCGGGGACTTCCCTCGCTGGTATGTTTTTAGATTTTGGCGTTATTGGGTATGTGATTTTTGAATAATGTGGTTTGTTTTTGGTTGTTTTTTCAAATAGCTGCGGCTGCGTCTGCGGCGGAGAAGAAGAGCTCTTTCGAGGTCAAGACCATTGGCGAGGCTGCGTTCTATGCCCGGATCAGGTTACTCCCACTAACTGAAACCAATTTTCAAAAATTCACCAATATCGCTTCATCCCTAGGTCGAGGCCCAACACTGCGAAACGCTGGTACCCCGAGGTTGCCGAGAAGATCGCATCCGCTTCGGCGTGAACGGGGTGACTGAGCATCAAGCGGTTGTAGTTGAAATAGTGTGCGTGCGTGTATATGAATTCTAGCCTTAGCCTGGGAAATTCTGTGTGTTTCCTTTGTAAGCAGTGTAACTGTCGATCTGTATGGAAGTGTCAAACGCAACGATTGTTCAATTCTGGAGTTTGGATGCTAGAAGAAGCTATAAAGTATGGAATCATCTCCTTAAGCCTTCAAAATCACGAAAGGTTTCTTCTCCTCTATCACGTTTCGAAAAAATTGATATCACGACATCTCTCGTATTCACCCGAGGGGGGTCTCGAACCCCCAGCCTTGAGATTAAGAGTCTCACGCTCTAACCAATTGAGCTACCCAGGTATAGATTTCGTGAATCTTCTCATCTTGCTAGTTTTTCTTATAACACTCCTGTTTTCAATTCGTTGTTTTTTGCTGATGACATAGCTTTGTTTTCTGCCACCCCTGAGCAAGCCCAACGTGCATTGAAAATTTGTGAAGATTTTGCTTTAGCTTCTCATTTTGTGTTTTCACCTTCAAAGTGTGCTTTGTTATCTTCTCAACGGTTACCCACCCCCTTGAAGCTTCATGGCTCTGCCCTCCCTGTAGAGGTTTCATTTAGATACCTTGGTCACTATTTTACTATTGCACGGTTTGATCTTGCTGCAACTATTGATCATCGCTTAGAGAAAGCTCGTGCCTCATTGTATCTTTTTGCACCTTATGTCTCGTACTTTGGTGGGTCTGCTCCTCGTGTTGCCAGGTTGTTGTTTTTGTCTTTTATTAGACCTTCACTTGAGTTTGGTTTAGCACTTATTCGGCCTTCCACTGCTCAGCTTCAGGTACTCGAGCGTTTTTGTTATCATGCACTGTGTCGTCTGTTTTCGCTAGCCCATACCACTTCGCGTGTTGGTTTGTTGCTGTTAGCGCAAATTCCTACTTTTGAGTTCAGGCTGAAGTACCTTCAGGCACGTATGTTTGCTTGCTGGTCTAGTGATTCCAGCCCTCTGTTACCAGCTGCTGTGTTGCAATTAAATTCTATCGGTCATCTCCAGTAGGTTATGGTTCATCTCCTTATTTTTCCGCTTGTCACAATGATCTCATTGTTCCTATGCCTGTTGTGCCCCCACTTCATCCGTTGATGTTGCATTTTCAGTCTTTAGCTGTTGCGCATAATGGACCAATTGCAGTTTTGTTTGCCCCTGTCCGCAATTTGAAACTTTGTCACCCTTTGTTGCTACCCCCACACCAACATCTCCCAACAGTATGCCTTCGTTTGTTCCTGCTATATCGGCTTGGCCGCCTGTTTCCAAACCCCCGACCTTATTGTAGGAACTGTCATGATGCCCCTGAAGTGTCGCGTGTCCATGTCTCTGTGTGTCTACATTTGCGTGCTAGTTTGTCTGCTAGTTTTGATTTAGGCCCTGACGATCCCCGCCTACCTCTTGACATTGCAATTGATATGCTTTCACCACGGCCTTTTTATCCTTCCCCTGCTTTTTCCCAGTGGGTTCTTGTTCTTCGTGCACTTAACCGCATTTGGTCAAACTGTCTTGGTTATGACCTAGTTTTGTCTCCAGCTCCTGATTCTATCTTTTCTGCTTTTGTTGATTTAGATATGCCTTAGTGTTTTGAAACATTTTACTTTTCCTACGGCTCGCACGGCTCCCCATGTGCTGCCAATTTACGTGTATTTTTACACTTGTATTTGGATTTTGCACCAGCGGGTGATGTGTATTGGTTGGACAATAAATACATATTATGAAGTTCAAAAAAATAAAAAATAGCTATGGCTCGCACGGCTTCTCATGTCCTTCCAATTTACGTGTATTTTTACACTTGTATTTGGATTTGCACCGGCGGGTGATATGTATTGGTCGGACAATAAATACATATTATGAAGTTCAAAAAAAAAATAAAAAAAATATGCCTCATTCTCTGTTTTCCTTTTTTGTTTTTCCTTATGCTGCGCGCGCTTCCCTATGTGCTGGTCCATGACCATCTTGTAAGGCACTTTGGGTGTTGTTTTTTGTTATGCATTGTATGTGCAAAATAAATAATAATATTGTTAATAAAAAAAATAAAAAAAAAAAACTTCCTCTGTTTTGCTGTAATCTGTCCACCCGGACACTTTCTCAACTCATTGACATACTTCAGTTATCTCTACCCAATACAACTAACCTCTCTATCAATGTTACCAGCAATACGATTCTGTCCACCCGGACACTTTCCAAGAAGTCACAACGGAAGTTCTGTAACAAACAATATCTACCACGACAGACCTCAAGAGCTGTGCTTTACGTAAAATGAACTCTCGTACGAAGAAAAGAAAAAAGCCCAAGACCATTTATTTTTCAAAGGGCATATAAATTCGGATTCCTGACACGCTACCAAGGGATCTGAGCCTCTCTCTCTCTCTCTATCTCTCTCTCTCTCTGTCTCTCTCTCTCTCTCTCTCACTCTCTCTCTCAATGCCGCCTCCCAGCGCTCCGCCTGCGCAGCCGCCTGACGCGCTGCATGCCGCGCTGCCCGCTGCACCCCCCTCAAAAATTTTCATCGCTTCTGGCCGTGCTTGCTCCCATGCTCCCTCTGTGTCCCACCCTCGTGCCCCTCAGGAAATTATTCCTGACTCTCAGCCCAGCAACTTTGATGGAGAAAATTTTCTGTGGGCAGATGAAGTGAATCTCCTCGCGAATCACGTGACTCCCGATCACGTGACCAAGCATCATCCACTTCAGAACCGGCTCTAATTAGAGGAAGATCCCCCGCAAGTGTCGTTGATGTTCACATGAATGATACAGTCGAAATGTCACTTACCATTGCTGATGCTGATCCCAAAGGGAAACGTCGAGCCTCAAAATCACCCCCGACTCGCCAACCTGCCTCTCGTGCCAGGGTCGAGAAGAATGCCTCTGCAGCTGATCATGCTACCTCTCCCTTGGATACTCCTCGTGACCGATTCTTGGATGCTCTGCATATGCTGGCCCCTGCTCAAACTTCTGGATCTCATCCATTAGTAATGTCTGCTTTCACTTGTGCAATGCAATTTCTCCCAGTATTGGAACCAGAAACTGAGGCTGCCTTCTTTGCTGCATTGAATATTGCTGTAGTTCCGTTGGTTGAAACTATCAGCTGCCCTCCTGCTGCTGTCTCTGCCGTGCCTTCCTATGCTCAAGTTGCGAGTGCTAGCCGACTGCCACCTGCCCCTGCTACTCGCAATCCTGGGCCTTTCAGCACTGCAAAATTCGCCTCTCGTGCATCAAATGCTATTGTTCATATTGAAGCTGCCGAAGCTGCATGCTCAACCAGCCCTTTATCGCTCAGTGGTTGCTGGAGTGGACCCCCTATCTCGCAGATCACTATGGCCACCCAGATTGGTGATTGATTACCCGGCTGAGTCACCAATTTTGATCAATCCTCCTCAGCCTGTTCGTGATCGTGCTGCTGGTTTTGCTACTGTGAGGTTTAAGGAAATTAGTCGTCAGCCACTTAATCAGCTCCGCACTCTGATTAATCGCATTTCTGGAAACCCTCAATTTTCGCGTGACATTCGCCATATTAGTTTTATTGGGCGTAACACTGCTGAGTTTATTTGTACTTCTGACTGTGCTGACAAGCTCTGCAAGGACATTTTTCCAGGTGATGAGGTGCCCGTTGATCTTTTTGACCCTGGGCAGCTTCGTTCTGGGTCTGTTCAATCACTTGAGCAACGTCAAGTTGCTGTAGCAAAGGCTGTTCACAAAAGATTTGCTCACCTCTTGCGAATTACTCATGATCCTGCAGTTTTTCATTATCTTCGTTCTAATCTTCCTGCTGCAGACTTTGAAGCTACTGTTTCTTTAGCCCGTTCTTCGCGTTCTGAACCTACATCTCGCAATTAATGTGGACTTTTTGTTCTGGAACCTTCAACTGTAGAGGTTTGCCTCTGGATTTTTCAGATTTACTTGCTTGGCTTGTTACTCATCAGCTTGATTTTTAAGTTTTAACAGAAACTCATCAGTTAACTTTAGACAGTGTTTCTTCTGAGTATTTGTTGTTTGATTCTCGTCCTCCACCAGACGCTCCTTTGGCATCTGGTGTTGCTCTTCTTATTAACCCACATCGTTGCAGTACTTATCAATTTAGGTTGATTGCATCAGTTCCTTCTGGGTTTGGTTTGTGGTTTAGGTTTGGTCAGGTTGTGATTGGTGGATTTTATTTTCCCCCACGTTGGACTGCGGAAGACTGTTTGGGTGCATTATCTGATTTTCCTCAATTTGTTTCGAATTCGGATACACCAGTAGTTTGATGGGTGACTTCAATTTTAGAACTCAGAGCACTGGTGATCATGTTACTAATGCCCGTGCCAGAGCACTTCTTCCTTTTTTTACAGCCCACTCACTTTCATTGGTTGTCCCAGCTTCTTCTTCAGCTCGTCGCCCAACTTTTCGTTCCCACTTAGGGATTTCAATTATTGATTTGTTTTTTGCTTCTACTTATGTGACAGCTTCCTCTTATTTAGTGCATGATCAACCCCAGTCTATGGCTCCCCATCCTTGTGACCTGTTCATTTCTTTAGCAGGCCCAGATCCTCAGGCCACTGTGCCTCCTCCTCTACCTTCTTGGAATCTCCGATTGTTAAAGGATGAAGTTATTCATAAGTCGCACAGAGAAACTGCTAAGATTCTGCTTCCTCCAACATCAGAGGCGCTAACAGCAGCATTGGAACCACTTCAGGTCCCTGTGGGGACTTCTCTTTTTCGTGCAGTGGCCCAGGGAGCAATTGATTCCGCATTTCAAATTATAGTTGATTTTGTTGAGGCAGCAGCAGTTCTGACATTGGGACCCCCAACACCTCGTCGTAGAGCACCAGCGACCACTCCTTTTCCCCCTGAGATTGCTTTGTTGTGTAGTAAGGCTCGTTCAGCATTCCGTGACTATTATTCCCTCTTGCACCACAATTCTTCTGACCCTCTTCTTCCTTTTCTAAGAACTCGCCAACGTTCTGGTCACAAAGCATTCAAATCAGCTCTGAGATCACATAGGCGTAAGACAAAAGCAAATTTTTTTGATGACCCTAGTTCTTCATCAGTGCCTTCTCTTCTGAAACATGTGTCTCATGCTTGGCGCTGTGCTAACTTTCGTACTTCAGCTAATGGTTTAGATTTTGATCCTCAGTCTTTAGCCAAATATGCTGATCATTTTGCTAGTGTCTACAATGCTCAGGCTGCTGACCCAGTTTCACCTTCAATTGTCCTGCGTGATTTTCAGCTGCCATTGGATGTTGAAGCTTTTGTTCTAGCTATTAGGGACTGCCCTTTGGAGTCTGCCCCGGGTCATGATCGTCTGCCTGCAGAACTTTATCGCCCAATTTCAGCTATTCT